TTGATATGTTCTACTGCTTTATTAAACTTTGGATAACTACTGATACATCAATTTTGCCCCGAGTTTCGTGAAGTTAAATTCAATGGAATTGCTTTGTGCTCTTAGCATTTGATTTAAAATTGCAAGTAAATGGCATCAGTATCCAAATGGATACATTCATCTTGATCAAGTTTGAATATTACAAAGAATTATATTCAACAATTTTTATATTACAAGGAATTATATTTAACAATTTCTATATTACAGATATGTGGTAAAATATTGGGAAAATATTGTAAAAGAAAATTTAAAAACATAATTGACCAATTACGAAATTCCTATAAATAAACAACTTATAATATGAATTTCTTTTATATTTCATTACTTTATATATATATATATATATATATATATATATATATATCGTACATATATATATATATATATATTGTGATAAGGTTTTTCAGACACAAGTCGAAAAAATAAAAACAGAACGTAAATATTAAATCTTATTTAATACGTTTCGAGCTTTTTGTATTTTATCTGAATGATGAGCTAGAATAATAGCTCGAAACGTATTAAAGAAGATTTAATATTTACGTTCTGTTTTTATTTTCTCGACTTGTGGCTGAAAAACCTTATCACAATATGTTTCAAAGTCGAAATAAACAATATCAAGATTTTAAAATTAAAAACAATTTAAGTCTAATAGTGGAGAATTTAAAATAAACTAATATTTCAAAATGAATATGCATTGCGCTTCGACAAAATTTGTCACATCGTTAAGTAGAGTCGAAGTTGTAGAATCAAAATCTGCACGTTAACTATAATATAAACCTTTCGCTACGTATGTCGTCTATGGACGGCATTTACTTGATCACCTGCGTATACGAATGTCGTCCGAGGACGACATCCGCATGACGGGCTGTATGTACGGATGTCGTTCATGGACGACATCCGCATGACGGGCTGTATGTACGGATGTCGTTCATGGACGACATGTTGCGTCTTGGACGCTTCAAGACTCATCACCATGAGTTGAACAAGAAGCACATTTTCTTATTTTTTATAAGAAGCATTTTTCAATACATTTTTATTGATAATGATAGAAATATCTTAAAATATATCGTTGTGCCTGTCCATTCAACAGCGTCTCTTCTGCGGAAAACACTCTAGTAGCGTTTAACTTACGAAAATATGTACATACTAAAGCAATACGACAAAATAAAAACAAAAAATATGAGAAGTATTTATCAATTGCTATATATTTTATATATTTGCTATACAGTTTCCGACAAACGACCTGTGGTTATATTTTCGTACACGTATTATATAAGTAGTTTAGATATTTCGTTTACAAGTTGAATGTGTAATAAAAATTTAATTAGTTTCAAGTAGTTTATTAGGGTGATGTTGACATCTATGTATGTATTTGTTATTTTTGATAAACAAAAATTATTCTTCATAATTGGGATAATCCGGATTTTCGAATAACCGGATGCCTATCGACAAGAATTAGTCCGGATAATCGAGGTTCTACTGTATATGATACCATTAATTGTCAAGCATATGTAATTACAACAGCAATAATACTTACCAATTATAGTGACACTATTTATTTATTATGTATAAAAGAACCCGTCAATAATAGCGATACATCTAATGCGGTAAATTTATTTGCGAATTGGAATATGCATATATGTTTAGATAATTTGAATTAAAATATCATCTTGGTATAATTCAGTGTTAATGTTAATAATTTATTTATATAAAATATTAATTTTATAATATTTTTTTTTACTTTTGTGCTTTAAAGGCCCCCTACAACTGAGCATCACTCCCTAAATGCAACAAAGTCCTTCACCGCCCCTCTAGTTTGCCGCAGCGCCCCCAAGGGGGCGCTCGCGCTCACTTTGGGAATCACTGGTCTAGAGGCACAAAATTTTATGAGAATTTTTAAATGCATTAAAAGCAATTGTTGTTAATTAATGTTTGATGAATAAAAAAACAATTAAAATAGTGAAAAAGTTTAAATTCTAGAAGATAGTGAAGTGGGTGATCTCAAAAAATTGGTGCTCCAAGATGTAATTGTTAAGCTCACGGACTCGTTGAAAGGGCTTCTAAGTTCGAACCTCGCTCTGGGCAACCTGACGTTCAGTAGCAATGTCCATTTTTAATTTAACATATAGATTAAAAATTTGTTTCCAATTGAAAGTTTTCAAGTAAAATGGCAATAGGAAGTCTATTACATCATTTTTCTCTGAATTGAGTTGGAGTTTCTCAGTTCACGGACCTAACGTGAAGCAAGTTCAATTAAATCGGACCAGTAAAAGTTGAGAAATTGTGGATATCGTATGGAAAAGACAGTTTCGCAAAAAAAATTTTAGGATTTTGAGGTGAAATGAGATTTATCGTGGTCAAATAGTTACATCTCCGAAAATAATTTGAATATAAAAAAATCCTCTTGTACACAAGTTTTTGAATTGTTAAACTTTGAGAATGTTCAAACAAAGATTGATTTTTTAAAAATTCTAAACCAAAATACCCCCTTAACGGAACAAATCATAGCAAAATAGAAATATATACATCTTTACCAGAGATTTATGTGGTACCTAGTTTCATCTCAAAAACTTGTAAATCTTTAGTTTTTAATATTTAATCTCCACATGTTTTCCTCTATAATTTCTACAATTTTTGTATATTATCAAAATTAAAACATCTGTCACTAATAACACTAATTCAGTGTAACTCGAGTAAACTGCCTTGATACTTTTCAAAAATAAATTATTGTTGAAAAAAATAGCTTTTCCGCAAGCCAAGGAATATTTTGAATGACTGAGGTCCATTCATAAATATACGATAAATTAACCGTTTATAAAAATATATTTGTTTGCAGAAAAAAATATTATTGATCAAATTTTATTGTGAAATGTTCACACAAAGGCTATAATTTATTAAATATCGAGTTAGATAAAAAAAATTGTAAACTAAACTACTGAAGTGACTATCGTGAAATTGGATAATTGCGATCGGCGGGTAAAATTTTGAACTCTTGTACACAAATTTTGGAATTGTTAAACTTTGAAGATTGATATTTGAAAAATTTTTAACCCCCTTAAGGGGGTTGTTCGATTTTTATTTATTTTGTTTTTGATTTTGAGATTTTTTGATATTATGAAAGCTGAAAACTTTAGATTTTTTTTATTTAAAAAAAAATCATCAATATCTATTTTTTTGACGAAGTTATAGATATATATCTCTATATGTATGATCCTTTGAAATCGTTTTTTTTTATCGCTCCGGAGCTATTGTATGCCAGCTGCTCTCTTTTTCATTATAATACCTTATGCACATGACCTTTTTAATGTGTAGGCATCTTTGAACACCATGGTGTATTTAGTACATTAATTAAATGGTGTATTTAGTATATTATATTAAAAACTTTAAATACGTTTTTCTCATAGTGACTTTTTTCAATGCGGTGCCACAAATTAAAAAAAACTACAAGTCGGATCGACTTGCATTGTTTTTAATTTGTTCACCACTGCAATATCTAGTCCCCCTACCTCGAACAACTTGATAACATAACGCAAAAAATTTTTGCGAAGCTTTTCGCCCCAATAACAAGGCCTTTATTAACACTTTTTTTTAAAAATAGCTGCCATTTTTTTCCTTCTTGCTTTATTTCTTTCATTTTGGTAGGGGTAGATTCAAACTTCTTCTTCAACGTAGTTTCTTTTTTTTTGTTTTGGGAGATGCAACGGATTTATCTGTGGCACCGCAAAAGAGATCGATTTTAAGAAAAAAGAAAATTTCGTAATATTCTATGATTTTGTAATTTTTGTTTAACAAAAACCGCATGTCTTTATGATAAATACATTTCGAGTAAAACAATAACAAATACCTTGCATGTTTTGTAACAAAAAAAAGAACAACCCCCTTAACGGAATAAAGCATAGCAAAATAGAATTATATCACGTGTATGTTTAAAATTAAAACACAGTGTTTATTAATTCATATTGAGCTGCAAGCTCGACTAACTGTAAATGCTACCGCCTCCACGTTGAAATGAAATAATTAGAGAAATGCCGAATGCGTAAGACCGCGTATTGAACTTGTAGTACAATATAAAATATGTATCAGTTGGACCCGTTCCAGTAGTGGAGGTTCTGGTGGCGCAACAGCCCTATGAGTCCGCGTGTCGCGTAGGGTGCTCGTATTGCGCGTCGGTGGCGGTGGCGGTGGCGGCGGCGGTGAAAGTCAGTTCAGTCGTAACCCAACCGTAGCGCAGTCCGCACGAGGAGCGCGTCGGGTGCTCTCTATGTTACGTAGCGAGCGCGTGTCCCCGCGAGCAACGGGTGTGTGCCGTCCTCGTCGCCGCAACGCTCTCGTGCGACTTGTGACGTGCCAAAGTGCGCCACTGTAAAGAATACCCTTCCGTTTTTCGATAGATCGCAACTGTTTCAATATATTCACAAATACAAATACTCGCGTACAGGATCCGCAGAACACGCGCGAGTTTATACTTGAGGCCTATACGGTGCGCGCACGATACGGCCCAGTGTTAGAAATTTTAGCCAGTCGTTTCCCTAGACCGTTCAATTTGTGAGTAGTGAAATTCTCAATCGGCCAAAGACATGTGCGTATCAATCAGTTCACGTATGTGCTTAGAGTGTTTCAAATTTATACAGATCGACTTACATTCCGCCAATATCCGGTAGTATAATCAAGTTTCAATTTATGAATAAATATTTAAGAATTGATCAATTAAATTAAAATTTCTCGATTGCATAGCTTAAATTGTGTTTATTCTATGTAATAGTTTGTTCTAAACTTTGAATTTTTAATATTGCAATCTAGAAAAGTTGTTCATAAAACTTAGTGATGAATAAAAACAGGTTTACAAATTTTAAGTGAGAAGTTACTAGTTAGAATATTGTTTCTGGCGCTTGATAAATTATAGTTCCTCGCAGTGAATACAATATATTTGAAGCAAACCGTCTCGGATGCAATTGTTGTGTTGAAAAGCTGTGGGCGGGGCACCGGGATGGAATGCTAATTAAGTGAGGTAAATGTTGTGCATTCTAAAGCCATGTAAATCCCCCATTTTGTGCATTGTTCGAAATTATATTACGAGCGAAATACAAAGACTGGAATTATCAGATAATGATCCCGCACGGCGATGTTTATTTCATTATCTATTTCTGGATCATACAGAAATGGATATCCTCATCATCGGTTATTCAAGTTAACGCCAAGTTATTTTAGTAAATTAAGTTCACGGCTTTTTTTATTATTTCTTAAGCAAAAAAGAATGAGTATTTTCTCAGGAAGCATTAAAATAAACAAATGAGTTTGTAAGAACATAACGTCATTATAAATTACTTTTTCTCCGTTTTCTTTAAAAAAACACATCACTTAAGTCCGTAAGATCATTTATATTTAAATATTGAAATTTTGAATATTTCGTAGTTGTAATGAGAAATTTATTACTGCCATATTATATCTGCAATATAACATACTAAAGTTAATTGAAGTATTTAAGTTCGCATTTCAACTACAAATTATTCAAAATTTCAATACCCAAATATAAACAATCCTGCGGACTTATTGAGTTATCTATTATATATTACATTCGACTAATTTACCTGCTGGAATTTCATAATGAATAATGTATTAAATATGTAGAGTAATTATTGGTAATATATCGTGTATTTTTAATGAAAAAATAACTACTGTATACTAGCAAAGCAGAGTTCATTAGTTTACTAATTAATTACTATTCATTAAACCTAATTCATAGTGTTTCCACTAGTATGTGGAAAAATTGTAACTTGAACATTTAAATTAAATATTAAATTTAAAATTAAATATGAAGTAAAGGATGAGTTAAATTATCTCTTTTGATGCGGCATTTAAATAGAATTCAATCAAAATATATTTTTTCGAACATATTAAATATTTAATTAATATAATAATTGAAATTAATATTTTTAATATTCAGCGATAAAACCAATTTATATCTATAGAAAATTATTTAAATTGAATCAAATGTTTTACCGAATTTTAAAAATGTCATTACCATGAATGAACAGAATTAAATTGAAACAAATAAAACATATTTCTCTCTAGTTTTTATACGGTATATGGATATAAGTACTATACGATATAAGTGTAATACTAATACTACAGAATAAAAACTAATTTATTTTGAGAAAAACGTCATTATCAAATATTAAAAAAAATTAGTAGTTGAAACTGGACTTGGTATATATTGATATTTCTAATGTTACAAATTTTTATATTTGATAGTGATATAACATTTATAAAAATAAGTGCATTTTCAAAGAATCCGATTGATATGCTAGCATTATATTATTTATAATATAATGATTAAAATTTATTTCCCGAAATCACGTTAATTATATCAAAATTTGACTTACGAGCAAAAAAATAATTTGGTAACACTGTTGAATATGATTATGCCAATATTTATTAGATAATTAAAAATGACTGTTTATATATTGTTGATGTGCTTTAAGTTAAGGTCTGAATTGTTTTGCTTAGTATTAATTTGAATAAATCGAATTTTCTTAAGAAAATCTGAAAGCTTATTTGCGCATTAAGGTGCTCTCGTATAAGTAGAAACATCAACAAACGTGAACTGAACGTTGCTAAATATGTAAATAGAACATATTTTTCGAAGAGATTCTTTTAACTTCTACTAATAGTTATGATTAGGCTATAAATTTTCCTACTAAAATTTGTCTATATATCAGATATTTTAACATTTACCGGCTGTCAATCGGCAGTACATTGGTCAGTATATATTAGGCAAGCATAAACCATTCGTAGATCAATCGCTCAGTGTAAATATTTGTTAAATATAAGCGTCGGAAAAATTCCCCGTCTCACAAATAGCATTAGAGAAATGAGTCAAAGCAATTAACTTCGTTTCATTTAAACTTGTAAAGACGCATTTGCTATCAATACCTTCTACTCAATGCCATACTGAATTATAAACATATATATATATATATATATATATATATATATATACGTATATATATATATATATTCTAGCTAGCCAGCCAAACGTTGTTTAGCCATAAGAAATACTTCTATATAATTTTTAGTATGACGACTAATTGTGAATATTAAATTGTGTGCTATATAAGAAAAAGGAGCAGCTAACACAAACCAAATTCCTGGTTCACCCACTGCAACGCATGCAGCATATAATTATTTCTGGGGCACATGAATAAAGTTAATGCAAGTGTCACCTTAATCTGAATCTAATTTTATTCAAATTAAATTGACACATTTTGATATTCAAGGTTTTGATCAATTAATACTGCGTTTTTAATAATTCTATGGAATTACGGAGCAAAATGTTAACTTCATTTTTTAATTGTATTGAGTCATGCTTAGCGAATCGAATGAGATTTCAAAAACTTTGGAAAAATTACAAGCCCTTTCTCACAAACAGCATGATCTCTAGATTTTAATATTCAAATTCGAATTTTTTAAAATTAGAAAAGAAAATTGGCCCCAATATTAATGCTATTCTTGATAATTTTTTTTTTTTTTTTTGGTAGAATATGTGCCTCATAGATTCAAAAAAGTCAGAAATAAAAATAAGTCAAAAACATTCAATGACTTTTGCGAAATAAGTGTTTTAGTTAAAATTTTATGAAAACCGGTCGAGCTGTTTCGGAGGAGTATTGCGACGCACACGTTACGAGAATTACATATTATATTACATATCAATACAATTACAATCATAATTAGCAGATGAATGCAACAATTTTGATTGACATTTATACAAAAAATGAACCGATTTGAACATTTATCGTCATAAATTGAATCTCAATTCTTATTGATTAATTCGATTATTTACACATATCGTTTAGTTCATTCTACTTACATCTACTTAATTATTATTTTTTAAATTATATATATATATATATATATATATATATATGTATATATATACATGCATAAATATAGATAATATCATTATTAATATTGTAATTATTTTAATTGGCTATTATCGAAACTAATATTGAGTAAAAGGCTTTTGTTGAAGACAATGACCTGCGAATAATTACAAGACAAATAAGGTACATTCAATTTATAATATGTATTCATTATCAGATATTTCTGCTTCAGCTGCATCGCATCTTATGTACATAAAATACAAAATTGCTCGCTTGCTCGCGTTTGATTCATTAGCAACTTGCGAATTGAATCCTCGAATTAATTATACAAAACTAAATTAACTGTATCATCATTAAAATTACTGTAAATAATAATCCTAAATATAACAGAATATGATATGCAATCAGTGATATATCTTTGCTTTAAAAATCAAATTTTAATTTTAGAATTAATTAAATACATTCCATGATCGCTATATTCTGAATCGGTACAAATAAAAATCAAAGTCGACATAAAAGCAACTTGTCTGCCAGATATAAACATTAACACTTATTTTATCACATATGCGCGTGGGGGAGTGCATCGGTTCTTTTTCTAAATTTAAATTCGTTTATAGTTCATGTGTCTTGTATGTGAACAGTATACAAAAACATTCAGACGATTGCTTTCAAGGAATTGTAATATAACAATGATGCTATGTAAACTATACATATAATATTTACGATATTATCCCGATTCCAGAAAAAAAGTATATTTTTTCTAAGAAATCCGATATGCAGATTTGTTCATTTTTTGACATTTGAAGTCCTTTGGAATCGTTTGACATCAACCTGAAAATATATTTAAGGCGATATAACGGCTGCACCAAATTCAAATTTGCAAATAATTCAAATGCCTTTTAATAAAACCGTTTCTTTATAATTAGCAGATAAGTGCAACAATTTTTATTAACATTTTTTTAAAAAAATATATCTGTGAAGTAGCTAAATAGTGTGTATAGTTTGCTAAGTACAATAAAACAAAGCAAAAATTATAAAAAACGGTGAACCTATTTAAACATTATTTCGTCATAATTATTCGTCACAAATTAAAAAGGTGGTACACCTCAGCTCTTATTGATTAAATTGTTTATACGCATAAGGAATTTCTATCCAACTTGATCTAATACTTACTTTATTATTTTTTATACTTTATATTATTGTTGGAATATACCTACATAGTAATATTATGAAACTAAACTAAAATATTTTCGCGCACTATCAGTTTTAATATAAACAATTTACATTAAAATTTGCAAAAAATTAATTAACAATAAGCCATGAAATTGTAACAGAGATGCTATAACATGATATTTCTTACAAAAATATTCAAATTTAATATAATCCTATATTATATGGCAAAAATCGACTACGGCGAAAGTTTTGGTATTTTCATATAACCGATAGAAATTTTACCAGGGCAGTCTGGGTATAACACTGTGGTTTTCAACATATGAGGCGCGTGAGCCTGTTACAAGGGACCCTACAGTTATTTTTTAACTACAATTTTTGAAAATAAACAAAAAAATGATATGATATGAAAAATGAACGAATAAATAAGTTTTATGCATATTTTTACATATTTTTTTATTATTATTATCTATTTTATTCACAACTGTCCAGTAAAGGACATTCAATAAATTTCATGAATTCACAATAGTCGGCCGAAAAGGGACATTGTATACTACAAGGACATGTTGAAAAAAAAACAACATAATATAGCATATTAATAGCATAATATAGCTATATTAATTTATAGTCTTATAATATCAGTTAGAAATTAAGAGTAGAGAGGGTTCGAAAATGGTAACCACTTGTTTATTATATCGTGCTGTACTAATAATAAAAAAAGTAGTTCTTGTTACTCCACATCAGTCAAAAAATGAACGTAACTAAATCGCTATCTATAAAACACATTGTACATATAAAAGAACAAAATCCATTTGTTGTTATATCTGTACATCTTTAATTATACTAATAAGTAGTACTGCCCTATGGCAGGTCCGTGAGCTGAGTTGAACTCCAACTCTATTCAGGAAAGAATAGTCAAGTTTATACATTGCCATTTCACATCGCAGTGCCCGAAATG